ATTAGAGGAATTTGTAAAGATATCTGCTGAGAAGAGTTCTTCAACTGATTTTTTCCCCCCGCTATACTTCCTGGCAGTTTCTGGTGCTCCTAATCTCCATCTGTCATTCTTGAAATGAAAAGTGCTTCTTGAAGACTAAGACCCTTGACTCTACCTGCACTATTATCTAGGAATAAGAATCTAGCTGAATTGAATTCCTTTATACAAGCATGTAAGATGCTTCTGCTGCCAGTGAGATTTTCCTTTTCAGGATCATGATTTTGCTTTCTGAGGTTAGCCATCCTGCCTCATTAGTCTTCTTGCTATATTCCCCTTTGAAACAACCCTACCAAATCAGGCTTTATATCAATATGTTGTCTTTTTTGGAGTCCTGTAATATATCAGCATTCTTATTTTATATATATAAAATAAATAACAAGGTGCATGCATATGTATATATGTTTGTGTGTGCGCATATTTTTTATTTCTGTGAAGAAATTCTTTTGCTGATGTGCAGGATTTATAGCATTAATCTTTTAGATTATGATATTAGAGTGTATCAGAACTTTGAGCCAATGGTTCATCTGCCTGGAAGCTTGTGATTTATTATTTATTTTCCCTCTTTGCAGTTGACCCAGGCATAGCCTTTCACTGCTGGAGGAGATCTGAATAAAATTAAACAATCCAGAATCTTTTCTCATGTTTACATCTCTATATAAATTGAAGCAGTTGCTCTCCTCAGACCCAGAAAGAACTGAATCCTGCTTTCACTGAACCTTATGGAAAGACTCTCCTTCAAAAGTGACATGGTTTTGTTAGCACCAATATTTTTAGACCCAAATGCTATTTTTCCAAAAATAGCAGTATATTTTCCTTAGGTTCTCAGGGCTAGAAATGTTTTCTGAGCTAATAGGGATCTAAAAGTATTTAAAAATATGTCTGATATATGTTAACATAGTGCTTTGCAGAGGTGTTGGACTAATGGCCCTGGGAAGGGAAGTTCTCTGCTTAGCTGTCTGGAAAAATGAAAAACGGGCATTAGCAAAACTTGCAATTGTGTTTTTAGGCTTATTTGGAAGGATTGTGCCTGGATGAGAAGATAGCTTACTCTTCACTGCTGCCCTAGACTTCTGTCCTGCTCTCTCTGTATTCACCCCTTTCTTAGTTTTTCTGGGTAGGATATACTTAGTAGTGCCTGCTTCAGCTGCCTCCATTTCCTGGCTTCTCCTCGTTGCTCATCTCTTGCTCTATCCTCACACAAATGCCTTTCATTCTGAAATTCCATCTGTCCAAGCAATACAAAAATGGTAGCTCTGATATCCATTCTCAGCATAGTTTTATCCCTGTGTTCACGGGGGATATATAGATATATATATCTATATATCCCAGCATATCTATCTATCTATCTAGATAGATATCCCAGCACAATCATAGCTGGTTCAAGTCTTTCCCCGCCCATGTATCCTGCATATACATATGATACGCATATAAATGTGTAATTGATGTTACTTTAAAATAAAGCTTTTTTGAGCTGATTTGCAAACACAACTAAGGTAGGTTTGAGTGTGGGCAACATTTTCAAGACTGAATATATGACTCTGAAAATCAGAGTAACTGCTTAAGCACTTCTGAAAATGTTAACACTGTCTATGTCTTGCCCCTGCAGAGAAAAGTACAGGTAATCCTGCAGGAGGCAATTGCAGGATAATCTTCCCATAGGACAAAGTTTCTGTGTAGCATTGATTAGCCAGAGTTTGCCTTAAACCATAAGGATGTGTATCTATTCCTAGACTCATTCTTTCTTTTTCTCATCGTTATTATTGTAGATACTCTGAATGCTGCTGTTGTTCACAAAAATGTCCAATCCATATAACCATACACCTTTGGTGGAGAAACATGTTCTCACTCAGACCAAGCGATTTTTAGGAATTTCAGTGACTCCTGTTGATACACACAGATATGATACCATAATCAAGCAGTGCTCTCTCCTTTTGTGCTGTAAGTTTGGCCTGGCATCAGTCAGTGGGTTTTTCACTTTTCAATAAGAGCAGAATCAAGTCAGTGAAAATTATTCACTTTCTCCTATATCAAAGGAAAGCAACTGTTGGTATCTATATTAGAATTGTAAATGTGATAAAGTATACTACATTGTTTCACTGTACTGTATCAATGGAAAAATATTTTTTAAATAAATAAAGTGTATCCCATTGTACCATACTGCTTGACCCTTCTCTTGTAAACCCAGTCACCTTTATCCATCTTCCTTTAAAGAGATACTGGTGGATTTGCTACTTCTTTCCTCTCCACACTATATTGATTGAGGGCACTGCTAGATCCAAGGTGACAGAGGGCATTTTAAATTAGTAGTAGGTCACTGCAAGAACCAGGGGAAGCTGAATAAAGAGGCCATCAATTTAAAAACAATTACTGTGCTTTTAAAAAAATCATTTATTAATCATGTAATTCATTGCCTCAAGATGTCTAGGCCCAGAACTTCTGGAATTTAAATGCTTTGAAGTTTATGTGAATAATGAGAATATGCATAGTGCTACTAGATGAAATAAAGTTCATGTGGCTTCAAGTCCACAGGCTTCAGAATACAAGTATTAATCATTTCAAGAAACTTTCTTGATGAGCATATTATTTTTAAAATGTCCTTTAGGATGTGCCTATTTTTAATGCATTTGTTGATGTCTACTTTTAAAGACATGCTGAATTCAGCGTGGCAATTATGATGCTAGTAAAAAGGAAACTAATTTAAAGAAGACAGAGGAAATAAGCAGCACTTGTTATGAAGTAGATCGAACTGGGGGTAATGTTAGGTGTGCTCTTTGGGGAAACAGCCAAGCTTATTTCCTTCTCCCTGTGTTCAAGGAAGGAGAAGGAGTTTGAGTTTCATTGGCTTCAGGTTAATTAAAAACATCTCACTCATCCTCCTGAACAGTTTAAAATGCCTATAATGAAAGCATTCAGGTGAGCAACAAGGGGAGTAGTCATGAATTAGGAAAGACACAAACTAATCAGCCCTTTATTAAAGGATAGCAATGAATTTAAACACCGAACTGTAGGCATTAATCTGTTTGAATGTTGCTTGGAATTTCTGAAATGCTTTTCAAAGTGAAATTAGGTACATTATTGAATTTGTACTTTAGAATATGTTGCTAAAAGATTAAAGGGCAGAAACTGTTATGTATCTATAGGATTGTCCAGTATACTTTGGCTTTGCATAAGTCTTGCAGGGAGGTGCTGGTGAAGAAATAGCTTAATCTTGTGGGAGACGGAAACACTGATAGAATGTCACTACTCTGGCAAGAGCACAGTCTTAATCAACACAGTACTGTTCCCACAGCAGCACAACTGCTCTGTTGTGAATAAAGTGAAACAGCTACAAAGACTATGAATTAAAGTCATTCATTTCTGGCAGTGAAAATTTCCAAGAAATTTCCACTGCTAGAAATCTTCCCAGGAAAGGGAGCAGTACAGGCATTTCAATCTGCATCTGTTCCCTCTTCCTGGCTCCCCATGGCTTCCCAGACTGGGGTGGTCCTCCACTCCTCATGGTCCACAGGGGAAGTAGAATGGCAGGGTGAGCATAGTCTGGGAGACATGGGAAGAATTGTCTCACAGCTTCCTCCATTCCTGGTCTCTAGCAGCAGAGCAGGGCATAGGGAGGAGAAGGGCAATGCCCCCGGCTCATTCCCCTGACTGAAGACACCTTGGTCTGTAAAACTAGTGAAGAGCAGCAGGTGGCTGCTCCTCCACTGCTCCCAGTCTGGAGGGAGCAGTATGGCATTCTCCCCTGGCCATTCCCCGCACTAGTCTGTTCCCACTCTGAGCAATGAGTGGGGAGCAGAATATAGCTTGTCCTAGTCTTGTGAAGGAGGTGGGGACAGGCCAGCAGCAGGTCCACTCTTCTGTGATCAAGAGGAGTTGAACTGTGAGGAAATGCCTCCCTACCTTCCCCAGACCTGGATCCCCCCAGTCTGGGGAAGACACAGGGGAAGATGCTGCTTGATGACTCCCGATCATCGAGGAATTGAGCATGCAGGCGTTCATGCTGCTGAGAGCAATTCTCTTTTAGGAGAGATCATCCAGGTGTCAACCTAGAAGATCTTTTTCCTGGAGGGGCATGTTTCCTCTGGGAGAAAGTTGAATGAACCTTCTACACCAGCAATTTTTACTGGGAGAGTTGATTCTGCTGGGAGAAAGAAAATGCCTATACATGGCCAAGCCAGTATTATGGGACTTCAATCTCTGGTATTGAACTTTACATTGTAGCATAATGAAGGGAGTGGGGTGACCAAGGTACCAGACTGAGCGGGGTGGGGGTGGAAATAGCAGTAAGTGCCAGAGGTGTAGTTGGGCAGCTGCCCTTGAAAGGGGAAGCATCAGCTGCCACCGTGATGATTCCAGCAACATGATCAGCTGCCGTTGTGACTGGAACTATTTTTGTAGCCCCCTTTCAAAGCTGGCACCCAGGACTGCTGCTCCAGTTGCTCCATTTCTTAGTTATACTACTGGAAGTTCCACTGCCAGGCTAGCTACCACTATGCTGGTGCCAGCACAACCAGTAATGCTGTCCTGCCCACATTCACTGCTGCCACCCAGGGCACTTGGGCATCACGTTACACCTCTGGGCAGAGATATGAGAACATACACAACATCGTGTCATCTAGATTTGTTCGAAAAGGATTGGTTATGTTACACAGTGGCCAAACAGTGGCAGAATTTCTCAGCATAGACACTAAACCAACTAAGAGATTAACTGAGCCTAAAGGTAATGAGCTGTTAAGCAGGAAGGCAGTGGAAATGCTGTGTAAATGGGAATGGGAAACAGACTTGTTTGGATCATTTCTATACTCCACTGGAAAAGCCATGCTTCTGTGTTCCAGGAGCCCTCACTTAGAGGTAGTTGATACTTAAAAGAGACAAGAAAAACCATTGCAATAAAAATCCCTTGCTGTAAATGTAAGTATAATATGTTTTGTTTGTTTGTTCTCTTCTTCCCCCCTATCAAACAGTGGAAGCTCTACATTTGGGGACATTAATGGCAGCACATGGCTATTTCTTTCCAATCTCAGATCACGTTCTAACACTAAAGGATGATGGCACCTTTTATCGGTTCCAAGTGAGTACACTTAATATGTTCTTAAGTTGGTTAAATGAAGGCTGATACTAACAATAAGTTATTTATTGTAATTATAGTTTCCCCTTTAAGTGCCACAGTTTATTGTGTCAATTCTTAGACCTGAAGTTTCTAAAATGGCTATGTTAAAATACTATATATTAAACACAAAGATATTAAAGGCTATCATGACCTTTGTGAGTATATGCATGGAATGATAAAAGCATGTACACATTTCTGAAATAAAAAGCATGCCATTGTTTTGAAAAGTCGAATAGATGAAAACAAGTTACACTCCAAGACCTAATTGACATTTATTGAAGTTCTTAAGTTTTGGTGTTTTTTACACTAAATAGTATCCTACTCTTAGGGCACTCCTCTGCAAAGATCTGTTGTATAAGTGGAAAATACCACAACATGGCTCTGCCAGAATTTAGGACTTCTTCATTGGCCCTGAAGTGTAAATAAATACGTACTCTTCCTGGAAGTGTATACATTAGTGTCCAGCCAGTACATTTTGTTCTCATTTATTGCAAATGTTTCTATCTTAAATAATCAGCAGGGATCTGGGTTTTCCATTTCCCATGGAAAAAAGTGGATTTTCTCCTTAAAAGGTAATACATCTACATGTGTAATTAACGGGCGTGTCTACACGTGCAATTAGTGCATATGAATACATTTCAGGGCCTATTGCTCCTGAGTTTTTTGCTCCTGGGTGTGCCGTCTGGAGAAATTACCTTTGGAGTTTGTTCATGCACAGCATGTGGAGCCCAGTTGGAGCAGCCCCAGCTGGCAGGGGGCCCTAGGGGTCAGCCTGCCTGCCTGGGGCTGCTTTGACTGGCTTCAACATGCTGCAGAGGGGTTAGCTAGGGCATGAGGGTACTTCAGTGTGGAGCTAGCCAGCAGGCAGCATGGAGCTAGCAGGCAGCCTCATGCCCCAGCCAGGCAGTCAGCACCTACACATGTGCTGCAATGCATGAAAAAATCTGCAACAGGGTAGAACTTAAATTTACAAGTCCTACCCTGCTGTGGAGTTTATTAGTTTTGTGTGCCCTAATAGGGGCATGCATGCAGATGTGGAGATGTTTACTGAGCAGTTAATTAGTCAACTGCACAGTAAGCATCTTGTGTAGATATGCCCAATGAAAATAAATAAACTCCAGAGCTATGTGAGCCAGAGTAAGCTGTTCCTGGGTGCAGTATCTACACATGCTCCCAGACAGCAGCAATTTGAGCTGGAGCAGAGCAGGCCTGGGCTGGCAGGGAGTACAGGGGGTCATAACTGGACTACAGGAAGTGGTGAAGGGTGGTAGAGGGCCTGGTAGGAGGTAGGAATCTGGACCCAGCTGGCTGGGCTAACCAGGTGCAATTTACACCTGCGGTCACAGTACACAGGTGAATTTGATTACAGTTAATGACTCTGCCGGTACTATTTCCCTGACAGTCCTATCTTACAGCGGAGTTAATTAGTTGACAGCATCCTAATACTGGCACACACATAGACGGTGACATGTTACTGCAGAGCTCATTAGGCTATCCTACAGTAAAGTGCAATGTAGATATACCCACTGTGTATAAAAAAAGTGTAAAGGTATTTCAGAACAGGTTAAAAGACCAGAGGTATTTCATATATCATTAATATATCTTTTTCTTTTTAGGGTCTGTTTATCTATATCTATATTGATAGATAGCTAAATATTTTGCATTCTATTACATTAATTATGGAGTTGGTTCTTTACTGCTTCCTACAATGAGTAGTGTACTAGTAGCTTGATTCGCATATTGCCACGTGAGGAAAATATTATTGCACATGCAATTATGCAGTTGTAGATAGATCTGATTGCAGTTATAAAATAACCTACTAGATATGTTAGATACAAAGATATATTACCCAACAGTACCAATTAACAACCACAGTGTACAACTCTGGTCTTCCAGATATTTGAGACTAAAATTTGACCTTATAAAAAGAGAAAAACATTTCATGAGAAGGAAGTCAGATACTACAGTGATAAGAATCATGTGGTAACCAATCTAGAATATAGTAGGATAGAGTAGAGCATTCAAATCCAAAGGGGAAAAAAACAATACATTAGAAAGCAATTATAACTACATATCATATTTTGACTTTCTAAGCTGATAGTATACGCCTTTATTGCTGCCCTACACATCTATTTTGGATAAAAAATAGATATGTTAATATTTTGTCTAACAAAGATGGCTTTAAAATTTTCTGCAGCAATAGCATTCTAGCAGGAAAAGTAGGAGGTTGTTTTGAGAAGAGGTATTATTGCACAAATATAACTGCTAATATAATATTGCTACTTCTAAACTATTCATATCCTGGATCTGTGAAATAAAAGACTAATAAGAGACTATCATAACATGATAATTCAACTGTAGGGCAAGATAGATTGGCCTTAGTTGAACTATGAGTCTTACTTTCAGTCACCATCAAGAGATATTATTGTTGACAGCCTATGTATGATCTTTTATAGATATTTTGGCATCAAATACTGTACAACCTTTGCCATACGAGATGGGGGGAGAGGGGGAACTCAACATGGATCCTTAGGTAAAAATGTTCAGGACTTTCCTTCTTTGCACACACAATAGCAAATATTCAGAAAAGCTTAATTTATTGCAGCTGTGGATTTGTCCCACATTTCACATTTGCTCATTAAATAACTTAATTTCCATTAGTGCCTCTGCTGTGGCTACTGAGCTCTTTAACATGCCATGGCTGGTGCCACCTTGTTTCTCTTTAGTGAAACATTCATTACATTGTAGTAGTATAACAATTTCGTTTTTTTAAAATTACACGCCTACCAAAATAATTACACCCATCTAAAAACAGTGTGTTACTTAACCTGTTAACTTAGGCATTGGGACTGGCCCATTCAATTAGGAGGAAAGTAAAATTATTTTACTATGACTCTAATTTTGTGTGCATACATATGAAATAGAATCCGTTCCCAGATGCCTCAGAAATAGAACCATGGCTAGACAAAATTCAGCAATTTCTACAGTATTGTAAAATAAGCAGAGAAGGAAACATTTTCAACTGCCAGCACTGAAGAGTGCAAGTCCATCCCTACAGAGCATCTCCCACTGCAGTGCAATGACCTACCCTGCAGAAAATAGGTTATATGCAGGATTGTACTCTGTGCTTCCTCCTATCCATTACAAGAGGTTTTGATCCCTGTTCTCCTCCTGAGAGTATAATTCTTTCCTGATTGTTTTAAACAATTTGATTTTTTATATAAATGGCCACAATTAGTGAAGCTTGCATTTCATTTCTACAATTGCCTTTTTCCAGACAAAATTATGCTTTTCAATTGCCACTTTTGTCACCAGGAGGGCTGTAAAATTATAAGTGCACCTGTTTTTTCAAAAGTACATAGCCATACAAATAAGCCTTTTCATTCTTTATCATTCTTCAAGGCATAATCACTGATTGGTTATGCAGTTGTTCACCTAATAATGTGATTGTTCAAAGGGGACATATCAAAAGTATACCATTTAATTAGTAACTCAAAATTTGACCAACTCCAGACTTGCAGAGATTTAAGCGATAATGAATCTTCTTGACATTCCCCAAGCAGGAGCATCCATGGTAGGGCTCTCTTCACTGCAGGAATGTGCCTGTACTGCTTTTCCCCTCAGTGGGTGGGAGATCAAACTGACCAGGTATAGGGAAAAAGACACAGTATGCAGAGGGTTGAGCATGGAAGAGCCCATCTTGGGTCTCTTTACTTCAGTGGCTTTTGTGACACTTCCCCCCCACCCACCTCTTGCCATTCCCTTGTTACATTGCATGGTGTTAGAATATAGCCAAGAAATAACAAGAGATCTGACAAATTTTATCTCCAAAAATGTGTCCGACATCGCTTGCACCTATTTAGTTGGTCCATTCAAATCTGTTACCATAAAACCTTGCTTCTCACATATTCCTGAACCATCATGGCTATAACACTCCAGCATTCATAGGAAATAGTATGGCCATCTATACTAATGTATATGAACTTTCATGAGCCTGTAGGAGCTTCAAGTGAAGAACCTTTTCTGCAGGAAACACCTTTTTAGCCTATTTAGACATCTTAACATATGAAGGGCTTATTTTTTTTTAAAACAGTGTTTTCAATGGTACATTTTAAAAAGGATCACAATGTTGATTGTCTAGAAAACTTTATTTGGGTTAAAAATAAATAAATGGATGTTATTACACAGTAAAAATGATGATAAAATGTGCTGCCTCTTGCTCTAAGGGACTGGGGTATAGGCAGTCTATTCTAATGATTAAACCACTGAGGGAAATCAGAGGCCTGGGGCTGAGTCAGAATGCAGGAGCAATATTACCAAAACCAGAGGGAAATCCAGAAACAGAGCCCATAGCACAGACCAGGGTCAGGATCCAAGGATCATATGCCAAGGGTAATCTACAGGGCAAAGCCTGAAAACAGAGCTAAACTGGTGTCAGGAGCTAGGAAAAAGATTCTGCAAAAAAATCCAAAGTCAACATCCAAAGTCAAAATCCAGAAATAAGTGAAAAACCAGGGTTGGGAACCAGGAGGCCTGCAACAGGAAAACCATTGACTGGCTTGCAAACCAAAGGCCCCAGCTGCACTCTGAGCAGCAAATCAGGGTGCTCATTGCCCCTGTCACCTGAACCCAGTTGAATTTCCTGCCTAGTGCAGGGGGGCTGGACCCGATGATTTTGTGAGGTCCCTTCCATCCCCTTACAATCTATGAATCAATCTATGAACCGGGGCTGAGTTCACTAGCTGAGGCTTGGTGCAGGTGTGGTTGTTGAGGTACTTGGTCAAGGTTGACCTGCCTGCTCAGAGTCTCTGACAATACTTGGCTCAGACTGGTCTGCCTGATCAGAGTTCCTGAGAGTATTCCCACCTCTATGGGGCCATCTTCCATGGAGCTGAGGTCTGGGTGCTCAAGATGGAAAGCCCTCGCCAGTTCTGAAGCATGGATGTGGTTAGCCAGTTTCT